GAAAAGGCATTGTTGGTGAGGGAGGTGAACTTGGATGAGGAGGAGGAGGTCGAGAATGGGTTGGATACCTTAACTGTGGCTGCCGTTCCTGTTTTGATGCACCTTGCACCTGAGCAAGCTGCACGGATCCTCCAGATTTTCAAGGAGGCTCCTTTACTCTTGGCTGCCAGCCCGGGGAAGACCACCCTTGTTGAGCATGTCATCCGACTAAAAGATGGACAACCAATCCGCCAACGTCCCTACCGTGTCCCACAACAACTGGTAGAAGAACTGCAGAAAGAGGTAGAAGAGATGATAACACTTGGAGTGATTGAGCCATCCAACTCAGAGTGGTGCAGCCCGGTGGTCATCGTCTTCAAAAAGGATGGGTCTCTACGGATCTGCATGGATTTCCGGAAGCTCAACTCCATCTCAGAGTTCGACGCCTATCCCATGCCAATAATTTATGACTTGCTGGAGCGGGTTGGAGCTGCCAAGTACATCACCACCCTGGATCTGTGTAAAGGGTACTGGCAAGTGCCGCTGGAGAAGTCAAGCAGACCATACACAGCCTTCAGAACACCAACAGGGCTGTTCCAGTTTACGGTGATGCCTTTTGGACTTCATGGAGCACCAGCTACTTTCCAGAGGCTGATGGACAGAGTCCTCCAGGGTTGTGAGAACTGCAGCTCTGCTTACCTCGATGATGTGGTGATCTTCAGCAACTCGTGGGAGGAGCATGTCCAACACCTTTCAGAGATACTGGGTAGGATCCACAAAGCTGGGTTAACACTCAACGCTTCCAAATATGAGTGGGCACGACGGGAGACACGGTACCTAGGCTACCAACTGGGACGAGGAGAGGTACGGCCACAAGTTGATAAGGTTGAAGCTATCCGAAGCTGCCCTCAACCTCGCACCAAAAAGGAGGTCCGGTCTTTCCTTGGATTGGCTGGATGGTACAGGAGATTTGTGCCTCAGTTTACCACCATCGCAGCGCCACTCACAGCACTGACCAACAAGGATCAGAGGAACCCAGTAACCTGGTCAGAAGACTGTGAAACAGCCTTCCGCACCTTAAAAGACTACCTGTGTTCTTCACCTGTCCTTAAAAGTCCAGACTTCACCAAAAGGTTTCTGGTACAGGTGGACGCCTCTGCAGTAGGCCTTGGAGCAGTCTTGGTCCAAGGGGACCTTGGAGAAGAACAACCAATCCTGTACCTGAGTCGTAAGATGCTACCCCGTGAGACCAGATATGCCACTGTAGAGAAGGAGGGTCTAGCCATTAAGTGGGCCCTAGAGAGTCTGCAGTACTATCTGCTTGGGCGTGAGTTTGACCTGGAAACCGACCACCGGGCCCTCACCTGGATCAACTCCATGAAAGATCACAACAGCCGTCTTACCCGTTGGTACCTCTCACTCCAACCGTTCAAATTCATTATCCGTCACCGATCTGGCAAATCGAATGTAGTGGCGGATTACCTTTCCAGGTTGCCGCACATCGCCAACCTCGGGGAGGGGGAGAATAATGTGACGGAGCGGATCACAGAGTGACTGACTCCGCCACTGACAGCCGTAGCGGCGACACACACACACACACACACACACACACACAACACACACACACACACACACACACACACACACACACACACACACACACACACACACACACACACACACACACACACACACACCAAACATTTCCTGCTCTCTTCCGTTCATCAATAAATCAGGTTAAATCATCACTAAAACGTCCACCTTTTCCCCTTCCTTTCTGTAGCGTGACCACAAGTGCACGTTTGTGAGTCTACAATTATTTCAACATACATTTAACTATATTACACCATACTTACGTGGGGAGCGGCGGGCGGAGTTTCACCGCCGTCTCCCCAGCAAAGGGAAGGTGGAAAAGACGGAGGCGCATCACTTCCGTGAGTTAAATAGGATGCAATTTATTATTTATTTTGTGTTTATTAATTAGGGGAAATGACTGTTAAGAGTTAGTTAACCTGTGTATGTTTGGTGCAGATAGTTTCCTCATGTTTGAGGAAATTACATTTATGTTGACAATGTGGTTTGGAGATAATTGTGTAACCGGTTGACAGTAAGCCTGTGGGGAGGGGCTATGGGTACAAAAGGGACGGTGTTGGCCCTGGAAGAATCATTCGGGAGATTGTTGCAGTGAAGGCAACAGCTAGAATGGGTTTACTCCATGAGTAATAGACAACCAACTTTGGTAACTTTGATTTTGTTTATTTAAGTTATACTGTTTCACTTTTATCATACAGTATATATTCTTTTGTTGCTGTTATAAATAAAGTTTTGGAGCTTAAATCATCCGACTAAGCCTATGTTTTCACAGAGAGTTATTTTTCATGCAGCAAGTCCAAGAGTACTGGTAAATCCCATCCCAGGATTGCATCAACAGGCAAATTCTGTACCACCCCCACACTCAACAGGTACGACTGTCCATCAATGATCACGGAAACGTCCGCTTTGGGATACGGATGCTTATCCCCGTGAACACACAAAATGTCTGTTTGTCTGCTGTAGTCCATAGTTCCAATTGGCACAAGACTTTGCTTCACTAGAGACATGAAGCTACCAGTATCCAACAAAGCAGTGACCTGCTGGCCATTAACAGTGACAGCTTTATAACGTTGAACACGTTCCTCTTGATCCCCAATGGGCCCCAACTCTGCCCGGGGTGCATAGCAAGCGCCTGTGACCTTAGCTTTGCGTAGGGGACACACAGAAGCTATGTGGCCTGGCTGCTGGCAGTAATAGCAAATTAAATCCTTACCAGCTCCTTGTTGGTTTGGGGCAGTGCTAGGATATCCGGAGAACTCTGGTCGATTCCTTGCCGGGCTGGAATGCTGGTTGGGGTGTGAAAGTGGTTGAGCGTGCAGGTGGTCCTCCTCTGTGAGCGTTGATGTACTGGCGCGCCAGCTTGGCAGCCGCAAGACCCTCTGTAGGCTCATGCTCTTTCACCCAGGTCCTCACCTCCGGTGGGAGTATCCGAAGCATCTGCTCCACGATGATGGCCTCTGCAATTTCCTCCTTGGTGTGCTGCTCTGGCTGAATCCAGCGCCGGTAGAGACCTTTAAGGCGATGGTAGGTCTCAATGGGGCTCTCTTCAGACGGTACCACCATGGATCGGAACTGCTGCCGATACGTCTCTGGGAAGATGTCGAACTTTGTCAGCAACGCTTCTCTCAGGTCTCTATAGCAGTGGGCTCTCTCCTCGTCCATTGCAGTATAGGCCTCCAATGCCTTCCCTGACAGCAGTGGAACGAGCCGGCATGCCCACTCCCTTTCTGGCCACCTCCACGTTTTGGCAATGCGCTCAAACCGCAATAAATAGTTCTCAATGTCCTCACCGCACTGGTACGGTGGGATTTTTGGCTCCGCATAATGCCTCCACTCAGGCGTTGGCTGATCAGGCTGGCTATCGGCGTCTGATTGAGGCAACGGATTATCAGCTGGACCAGAAGTCCGCAGGTCTCGGAGCTCTGCCAACAGGAACTCCTCTCGCCTTTGCTGCCCTGATAGAAAGTCTTTCATCAGTGAGAGTAGTTCCTGTTGGCAGAGCTCCGAGACCTGCCCTTAGCAAAAAAATCTATAAAATCCTATAGAATCTTGTAGAAATCTATAGAATCTTGTAGAAATCTATAGAATCTTGTAGAAATCTATAGAACATAGTCGCCATGCTAAAGAAATCTGTAGAAATCTATAGAAATCTCTAGATCATTCTGTAGAATACTATACATTTGTACTTTTCTATAAACTTCTATAATTAAAACTATAACAATCTAAAGAATTCTATAGGACAGAACCGACTCATGACATATCTGTAGAAATCTATAGATCATTCTGTAGAATACTATACATTTGTACTTTTCTATAAACTTCTATAATTAAAACTATAACAATCTAAAGAATTCTATAGGACAGAACCGACTCATGACATATCTGTAGAAATCTATAGATCATTCTGTAGAATACTATACATTTGTACTTTTCTATAAACTTCTATAATTAAAACTATAACAATCTAAAGAATTCTATAGGACAGAACCGACTCATGACATATCTGTAGAAATCTATAGAAATCTATAGCATTCAAAGAAAACATTTTTCTCTGGTGCAACCTATACTAAATTCTATAGAATGATATAAAACTCGTCATAAAATCATAGTAATCTACATCATTTTGTGGAACTGAGCTGCTTTGCAAAAGCTGTACGGGTAGATCCCTTTGAAATCTTTACAAATGTATACTGGATTATGTGCCCAATTAAATTATGTATATATTGCACATAGTTTGACGGTATTTAACAGCAGCAAGTTACACAATGTTATAATCGGGAGATAAGTTTCCATTCATTTCGGCAAGCCTGGGCAACAACGATTAAAATATTTCTTGCTCCCAAACCAATTGTATATTTCATTACAAAAAGCAGTTATACCATACTATGTTTAGGTACTAATGAATTATATCCTCAAAACAAACGCACACATAAATAACAAAGGAAAATACATAATTTAATAAATCCACAATATGATAACATTTTACAGATTAATTTAATAAACTTTTACAAAACATAGGTTGATGTTATATCGGGGGGAAAAATACATATTTAAACATTTCAATTATTCTCTGCATATTTAAGTAATGCTAGTTTATATAACAGATGAACAGATGTACAATATCCAGAAAGTAAGTGCAAAAAATATATATGATGTGTGCATTTCCAACATATCCTCTGAAAGAGTGTTAGTCGTTGAGTTGAGTAGTGAGCCATTCGTTTTTTTTTTCGTGGTGCGATGTCTGCTGAGAAGTCCTTGTATGCGTCTCCCGCTCTAACGTAGACTGGAAGTTTACAAGCACACACACTCAATGAACCGGAAATGGAATGACGTCATCCCGTGGATCATCCAATGAGCGCGTAGCTCTTATCCGGCAGAAGTGGATCGGGACTTACCCTAAATGTGATTGGACAATTCGAAACCTCGTACCCAGAGTTCAATGCAGTATATTAGCGGGATTTTTGATCGCTGGAGAGTGGAGATATATTTATTTTGAAGTTGAACGCATTATCACTGATTTTTCTATTTGTATGTTGTATCAGCTTTACCAAGATTCAAGAACTAGTTGTGGAATAGATATAGATGGCAAACAAAATGGGTTTCGCTCTCTTTGACTTTTTTAATGAGAATGCGGTTGACATCGGCAAGGTTTCGTGGATCCAAGAGCCTTCGTCTTTGACAATGGAATCCGTGTCGGAGAATGAAACTGTTGTTAAAGTGGCGTGGCCCAAAGGCGGAGTGGAGGGGAGCGATATCCAATTGTCGCTGGCTAAGGTGGTCAAGTTTGCAGGTAAGCAGAATCCACACAATACATATATATCTATCTATAGATGTTTTAATAGAGCTATGTCTAAATAATGTATCCTCACTCATAGCTTCGTTTTTATGAAATAATATTGGAAATAGTATATGAGCTTTATAATATCGGAAATTACTCACACTTTTGAGATCAATCTGAATCTGCTCTGAATCTTTTGAGATCAATCTCTGCTCTGAATCATGGAACCAAAAGTCCCACATATCTTGCGTGTCTGGAAAAAGTTATTTGGCATTTTTAGGGGGGGCACTTGTTTTGCCAAATAACTTTAGCTAATTCCAAAAAATCTAATTAGTGTGTGGTCCGACTGCTGCATTACACAAATAAGCAGTCAACAAGTAATATTGAAGTATTGTGCAAGAATTTACCTACATGTAACTGTCTCAATTGACTTAAGACTAAATAAACGAGGCGCCACCATAGAATGGAATGGACTAGATCTATAATCATATAAAGCTTGCTATAGATGAGGCTGCGTGTGTAGTATACGGGGAATGGAGTAAATTGTCCAGTACATTGTGTGGTAATTAATAATTAGAAGAAACAAATGTTGGACAAAAAGTGTGTGTGCTAGCCGGTGAGAAACATTGATATTTGTAAGCACCCTGAGGGTCCCAGTTAGACTGCAATGTCTATATTCTCAGACTACCGGGATCGATGTATGTACATATATAGGCACTCCTGTATATATTATATTATTATTGTTCTTTTCAGCTCAAGGTAAGCAGCTTCTGCGGCACAGGGACGAGTTTGTGCGGTTAGGCAGTGCAGAGCTGCAGTCACCGGAACTGGGCCGAGGGAAGAGAGAACCGAAGAGGAAGCTCTCGGACATCGAAGACCATGATGTAATTTAATTTGTTTACATTTCTCCATTTTAGATTTGGTGGTTTGTGTTTGTCTGCATCATACTGTCAGTCATATGCAGTATATGGCAGTTTAATAAACGTGTTTATATATAATTTATAATTGCATCCTAGTTTTAGGAGTGATGTTTACTGCCATGGTGGCTGGGTTTCATCTAACGTACCATGCATATATGCTGGCCTGTTTAATTAAATTGTGGAAGTGAGATACAGTTAATATAGTGTCTAGCTTTTGAGGAAATAAGTTAATCCATAGCAACATTTCACCATATTACATTATATTCACTATTTATAACTTATATTCATCAGCCATGACAAGTTGCATATATATAAGGCAATACATTTATTTCTATGTTATAGGAAGAACCATCCCTTCCCAAACCACCTTCAAACGCTGCCAAGAAGAAGAAGACAATGAGCAGCATGACATCATCGGTATTGGACCAGCTGAAGGTAAATATATATATATATATATATATATATATAAGCTCAACTAAGTGGAGTGTACTCTCAATACAATAGTAAGCATGCAACTCACTATTGTTTATGTTATGTACTATGTATTATAATTTTATGTCCGCGGTCCAATAAATAAAAAAACATATATACAATATCTATTTACAAGGGTAGAACTTCAAGATAATTTACAACTCGCCAGCAGGACTAGTGGTTTTTGAAATTCTGATACTCGTGCATATGGCTACATTGTTGTCAGCGTAGTGGTATTGCAGGGTGTAATGGTAACACATATAGAAGAAGTATAACTTTTGTGCCGTTTGACACCATTATATTTGGTTATATACACCATTAAACACCAACATTTCTGGTACCTTTATTTGTACTTTGCTTATGTATGTAGGTGTGTATGTATTTATGTAAGTATGTCTACCCAAAATTGTGTCATGCCATGGGCAAAAAGAAACATCACCTAGTTTTAAATAATTAATAAATATTTATTTGCAGGAAAAGTATTCACACAGCCACGACAACAGTGGACCGCCCGAAGCCGCATGTTCGCATCCCGACCAGGAATGCCGCAAATGCAAACTACTTCAACAACAAATAGACATCCTTGAGGAGGAGAAAGCTACATTGCTGGCGTCATTGAGAATGAACAAAAGTAAGTGTTCAATTTCACTTATTCAGCATTACAGATAATTGTTTTATTACATTGGGGGGAAGACAGTCTGGCGGGTCTGATCGCAGTAGCAGTCCAAAACATGGAGGATGGGTGATTTGCATTATTTCTGCTAATGCATGAAAACTGAATGCTGTTGTGTTCCAAAACCTTTATATATAAAATGTTTATGAATATGTTTTAAGTTTACATTAGAAAAAATATGTACTTCGAACCCATGTCTGAAATGTGCCAATGAATATTTCCAGTCGCTGGAGATGTTGTTGCCAAATTGGAGCTGCTATGTCACACGCCAGCTCCAAAGCTGCCAGATATGACAATGCCCATGAGGACACCTCCAAGTCCCTTCAATCGAGAGTCAAGTACGCTGAGGTAAATTAATGAGTTTTACATTTTTTATGAATAATTCTTACTGTCTTTTGGGCTTCTGTTATAATTGTAACGATTCTAGTACACACTGGATTTTGGTTGTACATGTCTCTGGGCCATGCAGTGTTTAATTATTTACAACAAACCAGCTTTTTCTGTTTAACTCTTTCGGCGCGGCAGGTGACTAGTCGACGTTTGACCTTAATGCACTCGTGGCCTACATATATGAATGGAATATATATATATCAAATATATATATATATATATGAACTAAATATATACATATATGAAATACATATTATTTGAAATACATATATGAAATATCCAGCGCTGAGCAATGCACAAAAAATATAAAATTAGCGCCAAAAGGGTTGAGCACATTTTTCTAACAAACACTGCATACTATTGGGATGTGAAGTTAATTAGTTATTACCTTGCGTGCCTTACAGAGATTATCTTTTCAATTTGATGTTTCCGCTAAGTAGGAAGAGAATTCCAGATGTATTACTTCCAAACCCATCAGCTGGACTAGTGTCATGGTGCAGTGCCTGTGTCAATTTGTATATTCAATTTTAATTATATCAAAATTGAGCCTCCGTGGCGAAGTGGTTGGTACCGTCAGCAGCAGATCAATTCAAAGAGTAGAGAATTGTTTAATCATTCATTTCATTATTCCAGATCTCTTAATTGGCCTGGAGATTGTGCAAAATGGTGGCCTAAAGATCCATTTCGCCATCACCATTATAATATACGTTGAAATTCCAATATCATCCACCTACTGTAACCTATAGCAGCATAAATTCCGATTGCAAACTCCAATATCATCAATTGTAATACCTGCTTCAGTCTGTGTGGATATTAGATGGTACATTATTATTATATATATATTTTTTTATTATTATTATTATTTGTTACTTGTCACAGTCAATTAATAAAATACAATATTATGCTGTTGGATTTCATTGCAGTTCCCAATAGCAAAGTGGCAGATTAGGCGATGTTCGACCACCTCGCTGCAGAAATTCATCAATGACCTCCTCCATGGCCTGTATTGCACAGAGTACATGGCCAAGCACTCACTTACTGGCTACAAGGCCAGTAAGGAGTCTGATGCTGGCAAGAGGAAGGACAGCATTCCACAAGAAGAGGTTGCTGAAATAATTGGTAAGATTTGTTGATATGTAGCAATAGTCCCAGCTAACAAATTTACGTATTAACTACGTAGTTACAACGTAGTGGTTTAGTAGAATTTCTGGACTGCCAGATACGTTTTTTTACTACGTAGTGAAATTACCAAATGGGCACTTTCTCATGACCTTTCGGCTTCCCCTGCAAATGTTTGTTTCTACTTTGTGCTAAACTTTGCTTCACATATCATCCATGTTCTATGACTATTAAAGAAACATGTCATATTTTATCAAGACATGTCGTAGTTCCCGCTGTAAAAGCGCAAAATCTGAACAAAGATCGTACCAAAGATTCCAACTGCCAAACCGCCATGCAACTGCTCTATACATTGTGTGCAGTGTGCACACTTGTTCAGTTTACTTTAGTAAAATGTATTCTAGTTTTCACACAATTTTCACATACACATACAAAAACTAATAATTTTGTTCTATGGAGAAAATTGCTTCTATGCATTAATTAAATAACGTTAAAATTAACTAATATGTACAAAAACAAATCTCAGATCACCAAATAAACATCTACGTGTCCTTGTTACGTATTCACAACGTAATATAACTACGTAGTTGGCCTAACGTTGCTGAAGTACGTGCATAAACATGTACTATGTAAATACTACGTATTTTCAAGACATTACCTAAACGGTACCTAACCACTACGTCATATATACGTAGTGTGTTAGGTGGGAGTATGATGCAACTTGGCAAATAAAGTAGATTTATATTGAAATCATGTGCAAGTTGAAATCTTCCAAGTACATGGTAGATATACATATTTTGTAGTGTAGTGGAAAACAATGTTGTGATGCTGGGAATTAAGTGAACTATTTGTAGAGTTTCTGTGTAGTAATATATAGTCATAAATCGACCATCTATTATAATATGAATACATGTACTGATTAAATTACTATTTATATTAACCATTGCATTAAAAAAAATTGATTGATTTATTACCTTCATGAATCAATATTCTTTGGTGAATGGCTTTAATGCAAATTTCAATATATTATTCTGTTATAGCGGCAGCAAAACAAATCTTCGCCACCAAGACGGACATGGAGGTACGGCTGGCCATCCGCCAGAAACTGAATGGGGCTGCCAAAGTGGTCTCGGCGAGGAAAGTGGCAACACCTCCAGACCAGGGTTTCCGCCAGGATTTTTTCTCGCCGGTCAAATGTCCGGGCAGAATTTATTTTACCGGACAAATTTGAAACTTACCGGTCATATTTCAATAATAATAGTAAGAGTTGTGTAGCAGAGTTTCCGTTAGCAGGTAATTACCGGACTATGAGCAGATATGCTTCAGTTTAAAACTCAGTTCACAGGGCTCATTTTTATATTGCTTCAGTTTATAATCGTAACAGATCGACTAATTCAGATCCATTTTTCAATAAATGATTCCACAAACAACAAACAACATCATTATTACATTCAAACAAACTACTTGTAGTAGCCTAGATAACGTACATTATTCAAAAGTTTACATTAACTTTGAATAATAACACGGGAGAAACGGATCATCTCCTTTCCCCTCTCTCTCTCTCTCTCCTGACAGCCCGTCAGTTTCTCATGCAGCTCGCTAAACAGTGGGCGGGGCTTCAGGTGATTATGCAGAGCTGCATGTCTCCGTCAGACTCAGCAGCTGATCTGATCTCTCTCTCGGGTCCGGTTATACTTCACTCGCGTTTATGTCCATATCGATCAGATCCAGCTCTCCTGATCGTTTTTTATATAGAGCACCGATCAAACTATTAAGAGTGAATATCGGCCGATAATGACCGGTGGCCGATCTATCGGAGCCTTCCTAATTATTACCAAACATTTTGACCGGCAGGTTTTGAATTTACCGGTTTTTAATAAATTTTACCAGCTAAAAACCGGTAATTACCGGCTAACGGAAACCCTGCTCCAGACGCCAGCCAATAGAGTACAGATTCATCATTCATTTCATTATCCCAGAAGGTCTCTTGGCCCAAATTCGCATAACTTGCGAAAAAGTAGCTTACCGGCATAACAATATTATATTAAACCTTGTATATTGGGATATAATAAATAAATATAAATAATAAATGTATATAGCCCAATGTTCTATTACATTTATGCTCAGTTTGTATGCTCTAATCTTGGTACTTTTAACACACATGCTTATTTAAGGTACTTTATATTTGCTTGGATAGTAACATATTTTACTCACTGCCATGCTTCACAATTTTTATTGTATTCTGATGTAAATGCTCCAGAATTTCTGTGACTGCATCTGTATGTATACGTTGATCACTTTTGTTATGTAACTAATTATCTGTTACAACTGGAGATTAAAGCTAAGTGACATAACAATAGCTATTGTTAGTGTGAGTCTGTTACAAACAACTCATTGGAGTCTGCAGTACTCTACTCTGTTTTTCAGTCTATTATATGGCATGTAACACATAATTACTGTGGGTCATTCTCTAAAACATGTATCAAATATATAGCTGTATGTGACTCAATATCAGGCATTGCTATATAATTCAATATTCTATATAATGTCACAACACATGTGGTGTTAGCTATAGAAGATTCTGTATTGTCCATTCATATTGTAGAGCTTATTCTATAGAGTACAGAGCAGTTATATAGAAAACATCCATGGATTTTCTATAGATTATTTATGGAATCTATAGGAAAATCTATAGGTTAATTCTATAGAATTTCTACACCAATCCTGTACTGTTCTGCAGAACAATTTTATAGAAAACAATAGCAATTTTCTATATGATTCTATAGATTATTTGGTGGAATCTATAGTAGAATCCATAGGTGAATTATATTGAATATTTGCCACTATCCTGCAGTATATTCTACAGAAATTCTATAGAAACATCAATAGATTGTTCTATAGATTATTTTGCAGAATCTATAGTAAAATCCATAGGTAAATTCTATAGAATATCTGCAAAAATGCTATAGTATTCCTCAAAGAAGTTCTATAGAAATATCCACAGATTCTATAGAATATAGGTCACTAATTCTATAGTTTTCTACAGAATGGTATTCTACAGAACACTTCTATAGAAAGCATCCATGGGTTTTTCTATAGGATTCTATAGATTATTTTCTACAAAAAAACCATCTACACAGTATATATTTTCTATAGTACTATATTCTATAGATTATTTCCCAGAATCTATAGTAACATTTCTATAGTATATCCGCAAAAATCCTGTAGTATTCTACAGAACATTTCTATAGAATTCGTCCATAGATCTTTCTATAGTATTCTATAGATTTTTTTGCTAAGGGTGCAGACTTCAAACATGAGGAAACTATCTGCACCAAACATACACAGGTTAACTACCTCTTAACAGTCATTTCCCCTAATTAATAAACACAAAATAAATAATAAATTGCATCCTATTTAACTCACGGAAGTGATGCGCCTCCGTCTTTTCCACCTTCCCTTTGCTGGGGAGACGGCGGTGAAACTCCGCCCGCCGCTCCCCACGTAAGTATGGTGTAATATAGTTAAATGTATGTTGAAATAATTGTAGACTCACAAACGTGCACTTGTGGTCACGCTACAGAAAGGAAGGGGAAAAGGTGAAGGTTTTAGTGATGATTTAACCTGATTTATTGATGAACGGAAGAGAGCAGGAAATGTTTGGTGTGTGTGTGTGTGTGTCGCCGCTACGGCTGTCAGTGGCGGAGTCAGTCACTCTGTGATCCGCTCCGTCACAGCCATCTTTAATAACTAATATATACCGGGCTGCTAAATCCTAAGAACTGCTACAGGATTTGTAGATTTGATTTGTTTTTGATCTGTATTTTTGAAAATTATGTAACT